GATATAGGGTGGCTCCATAATCACCTCTAATCCAGGAGGGGACACTGAGATATAGGGTGGCTCCATAATCACCTCTAATCCAGGAGGGGACAGTGGGATATAGGGTGACTCCATAATCACCCTAAAGATAGGAGGGAACAATGGGATACATGGTGCCTCCATAGTCACCCCAAAGCTGGGAGGGGACACTGGGATATAGGGTGACTCCATAATCATCCAAAAGCCAGGAGGGAACACGGGGATACATGGTGTCTTCATAATCATTCCAAAGCCAGGAGAGAATCCTGGGATGTACAGCAACTCCATGATCACCCCAAAACCATGAGGGACACTGGGATATACAGTGACTCCATAATCACCCCAAAGCTGGAAGGAGACACTGGGATAGAGGGTGCCTCCATAATGTCCCCAAAACTTCCCTTTGGCAGGAGCCAGGGAGAGGCCTTTGCTTTGGGAATGCAGATTTGAGACCCCGAGTGGGGTTTGCCCCACGAGCTGCCAGGGATGGAGAGGTTCTGCCAGAAGATCCCAGCTACACCGGGGAAAATTAACTCAGGGAAGTCACTTCCCAGTCCAATCCCATCTTTTTTTTCTCCCCAATCCCTTTTATTTTGTTGTTCCAAGGACCTGTCTTATCCCAAATTAACACAGTTCCTTGGTAGGAGGAAGGATGGGAAGGGGTTAAACACCTGCACCCTTCCCCACCCCATATCCCAAGGCATTTCCTGATGCTGGGCAGGTACCTGTACCCTTTTCACCTTCCCCTGGGCTGCTCCAGGTGTTGCTCCCCGGCTGGGGAACCCGGAGAAGTCACAGCCCAAAAGGGAAAAACTCCCTATTCCAGGGGGAAAAGCAGTTGGCAAATAGCTGCAGGCACAGCCATAACACAGAGCCCCATCTGGGAATGATCAAATCCGCTCAAAAATGATAGACCAGCCCAAAAGTGGGGGTTTGGATGCGGGGCTGGGTGTCTGCACCAGGTGAAAACACACCTGTGTCACCTGCTGTCACACTGGGGATGTGTGTCAGGGATAAAGGGGGCTGGTTTTCCATGGAAATTTGATTGCACGGAGGATTCATCACAGAATATAATAATAATAATAATAATAATAATAATAATAATAATAATAATAATAATAATAATAATAATAATAATAATAATAATAATAATATCCTTTTGGCACAGCCCCCAGCAACCTGCTATCCCACCCCTCTAATCCCAGCACTTGGATGCCTATCCTGCATCACATCCCTACGTAATAATTCCGCACATCGGAATTATTTCCCTCCAGGTAATTTAAATCAGATTATTTTTTTTTCCTCCTTTCAATTATTTCTCCAAAGCCACAAAACGAAGGGGGAAAAGCCTTCCCTGCTCCCTGCAAACCACTGCTGCTGCTGATAGCAGCTTGGTGCTTGTTCCCAGATGGATCCGTGGGGCCGCGGGAAGGACGGGAGCCTTTCCCAGCCCTCCCGCCGACACCTGCGCTCGCTCCCTGCTTCCCAAAAACATGGAAACACCAGGCTACAAAACACGCTGAGGCACATAAAAATATATTTTAAAAATATCTACATTGCCTCTTCCCATTTCTAAATCCCCCCGGGACTTAGGGATGGACGGCGCTGCTTTTTCCCCAATAATTCGCGTTATTGCCCGGAGGCTCCAGGCACTGCTGGAAAAGGCCAGGGAATGGCTGAGCTCCCCCTCGGGCATCCCACAGCTGCCCTTTCCGCCCAGACAAGTTCCTGGTTGTTCTTTGACCTTTGGGGTTTGTTCTTTTTTCCCCCTTTCACATGGTTTCAGAGAGGAAAGGTGACGGAAGCAGCAGGGAAGGATGGGAGCCGGGGTGGCACCGCGGTGCCCTGGGCTGGAGGGGTCGGGAGAGCATCAGCACCAGGATATAAACACCCTCTGGATTTTGGGGGCTCGGTCCAGCCTCCCCAACATCCACAGCTGCTCTTTCCTGCTGTCCCCACACCGGTGACATTTCCCTCCCAGTAACTTCCCGCTCCCAGAGATGCATTTGGAGGTTTTGCTTGGCAGAGCCTGGGCGAGGATGAGCCAGGCGGGTACTGGGAACACCCACGGCTCCAGCTTTAATTCCCAATTAAATTAAAGGATAAAAAATACATTAATTCGGAATATAGGCCAAACTGCCTCACCAGAATCTGGAGAAAACTTTCTCCAACCACTCCTTTACTGACTATTACCGGAAATAACACACCTTCACCTGGAGCATTTGGGAACAGCCCCTCACCGGGACACCATCCTTGGGCACACAGAGAAGCTCAGCCCTGACTCCCCTGTTTTCCCCCAGCACTGTACACTTTTCCTTTCATCCCCACACTTCTGCTGGGTCTCATTATATCTAAATGCTGTGAAATGCCTGTTCTCATCCCAGAAAGTCACAGCCAAAATCAGCAGGTACCGTCTCCACACCCATCCTGATTTTCGGGCACCGTGGTGTTGGTGCACAGAACCGAAGCCACAAGGCTGAGCCACGGTTTTCCAGCTCTCTAGGGAAGGAGATCAGGCTGCTGCTCCTTTTCTAACTGGATTTTTAAAGCCATATTTTGCTCTCAGGGAAAACACCCCAAGCAAGCGAGACATAACACCGGAAAACCGCTCCGGAGAACGGGATGATGCCAGACCTGCATTCCCAGCCTCCAACCCGGCCAGGGACGACTGAAACAACCAAACGCCACAGCACAAAAAAAAAACCAACCCCACCCCAAGCCCAGGTAAAAATAACCCATCTCCAAGGCCAGGAAAACCAGCAGGGTTCAGCCCCAGAGGGATTCCTGGGCAAACCCAGCAGCGTGAGCCCCGCTCGGGTTTGGTGCCGCTCCCGCTGCCCGACGCCGAGCTGATCCCATCGGATGGATGGATGGATGGATGGATGGGTGGGCAGTGGGACAGCTGGCTGTGGGATGGGCAGTACCTGGGTCTCGGAGAGGCTGAGGCTGCTGGCCAGCTGCTTCCTCTCGGCGCCCACCACGTAGTGGTTCTTCTCGAAGGCCCGTTCCAGCCGCAGGAGCTGTGACGGGGAGAAGGCCGTGCGGATGCGCTTGGGTTTCCGGGCGAAGGGGCCGTGCAGGAGAAGGCTCTCCTGGGATACCTCGCTCCCTGTGGACACAGAGCACGGTCAGGGTCCTGCACCAGCAGCCCCGGCACCAGATCCCGCTCTGCGGGGGGATGTTGGGGTGACACTCTGGCCCTGTGACACGGGGGGGACAGATAAGGGGGATTGGGGGGTCCTGGGTGCCTTCCCAACCCCAAAATTGCAGGATTATGTCCCCACAAGCACTGCGGTGTCGTAGCCGTGCTCCCTCCTGGCTGCCCTTGGTGGGGCTGGATGTGGGAGGATGGAGAGGGGAAGGGAGAGGAGAGAGAAAGAAAGAGAGGGAGAAGGGATAGACCAGGAAAGCAGGAGGAAGAGGAAGGAGAGAAGGGAAGGGGGA